CTTAAATATTAACTTCACCACTTAATGGCTGTGTGACCTTGGACAAATTCCTTAACCTCTCTGTGCCTGGGTTTCCTCTATACAACAGTTGTCGATAATAGCAATGCCTACTGCACGAGATTGTTTGGATAATTAAAGATTACATTTGCGTGTACAAAACACAGACTGGGAGCTAGTTCAGTGCTTGATACGTGCTGGCTCTTTGCTTGATGACTCAGATGTGGAAAGTCTCATGATCGTGGCATGCTCGCGAAGGGAGCCCAGCAGGATGGCGGGCCACCACCATGCTGCTCCCACTCTGCTGGGTGCACCGGAAGGTCTCCTGAACAGTAGCAATCTAGCCTGGATTCCATTTCTTTTTAACAACTTGTTTTGGAGGAACTTTCTGAAAAGCTGTTTTTATTTTTCACGTAGAGTGAACACCAGTACAGACTGGAGTCTTGCCAACTTGAGCGGCAGTCAGTGGAGCCAGTCGAGGCATAAAAGAAATAATGTCACCCACACTCTCCACTTGCTGTTGGAGCTGCAAGTGCTGAGCCAGGCCTACAGCTTGTCCCATGGGGCCGTCTCCTCTCTGTCTGTCTCTCTGTCTGTCTGTCTCTCCCTCCCTCCCTCCCGCTCCCCCTCCTTCCCAGCTCTTCATCTGACAAAACCCGATCTAAAATTCACCAGATTTTTCTGACACCTTACATGTTACATCTTCCTCTTCACCCCTACATACAATATCTCCACTATCTATTTACAAAAATGACACCCTTTTTAACTCTATCAACTGCTGTGACCTTGACATGCCTTTTTCCACACATCACTTCGACAGTGATTCCCTCTCCACCTCTACCTAGGCTCTGGCATTTGCCAAGAAGTCCCCAGGAGGCAGTCTGGTCGTCACTCTGCCCATTGGATGGGTCCTGGCTCCTCGTGGTGGTGGGTGCAGGCAACGCCCCACCTGCAGACACTGCTTGGCTGCAGCTCCGGGCTCACTTCCTGGCGAGGCGGCACACAGGTGGCAGGCCTCAGCCCACCTGCCACGGGCGGGGGGCAGTGGGGCAGGGCCTCAGCACTGCACGGCTTGCCCAGACCCAGACCCCAGCCCCGGTTACCCGAGTCTCCTTTGCTAGTGGCACAGATTTGGAGCCTATCTCAGCCAAGTGACAAGCCAGTGTCCCCTCCAATCACTGCTGAGTCTCGGCTCTCCCACCTCATCATGGCAGGCTCCTCACCACCCAGGGTTCTTGTCCCAGGTTGTTCAGGATAAAATGTCACAACTAGTCACATGCTTACAATGGATTCCTCAGCAAGCCCGGTTACCGTCCGGGATCCAGACACTGGCACCACTCAGAGCCACCACCCCCTCCATCCCACAATGGCCTCTTTTTGGTCACCTCACATCCACTCCAGCTCCCAACAGGCCACACTCCATGTGGCAGACAGAGGGATCGTGTTAAAATGTAAACCAGGTCACAGCAGCCCCATCTGCAAAGCCACAGAGGTCTCTCCAACACCCAGTCCCTCTCCTGGTCTTATTATGTGCTCTGGCCCCTGCCCACCTCTGTGACCTCATCTCAGCCGCCCTCCCCTCACTCGCCATGTCCAGGCTCCAGCCTTCTTTCTTATCCAGCCTTCTTTCTGATTCTTGAGCTGAGCAGCTCTGTCCTATCTTAGCACTTTTGCACAGGCTTCCTCCCTGCAAGGGGCTGGTCCTCGAAATCACCTAGGTCTCAGCTCAAGTCTTCCCTGCTCAGAGAGACGTCCTCTAACCACGTGTCAGTTATCACTCAGTTGCTATCTTGGTAGCAGGTGTCATTACCCACCTTCATGTTTGTTATCTAGCCCTGCCCACTAGAGCAGAAACTCCAAGAGAGCAGGGACAATGTGTTGCTCATTGGATCATCATGGCCTAGAATACAGTTGGCACGTAGTACCCAATACATAGGTTTCCGGTAAGATCAAAGAAGATGACAACCTGCTGCCTGCCTGGGACCCCACGCAGGGTGGGACTGCCCTGAATCGGAGCAGCCCTAACCCACAGCCCCAGGCCTGGGCCCTGCGGCCCAGCCTAAGCACCAGGGCGCATCCCTAGGATGCTCGCTGCTGGCCCCTGACTGCTGCCTCGATTCCCCCAACCCAGGGCTCTGTGCACTGGACTGAAAACCTGTAGCTGTAACATCGCCTGGCTAAGCTTGCCAGGACCTATACACCCAGGCGCCTCCAAAGCTACTTCTGTGGCCAGCGGAACCCAGGGGGAGCAGCCTGGCTGTGAATCCTGACTTCATTGTCCTGTCTGTTACTCTAGGCAAGTAACTTCCATGTTCTCAGCCTTGTTTCCAAAACTGTGAAATGGGAGGAGGAGTAGTATCCACAAGGAAGTTCTGGGAGTTTTCTGCCTGACACCTACACCCTTTGCCTCTGGTGACAGCTCTAGTGTCTCCTTCACAGAAACCCCCTGACCTAAGCCTGGCAATGAGGAGTGGCTCCGAGGCTTTGCTGGCAGTTGCGTGAACAGTCCCAGCTGACCCTGACCAAGCACTTGCTCTGAGCCACGTGATCCTCTAACCAGACGATCTATCCAGCCCTCTAATCCTATAGCAACCCTTGGAGGAGGGTGTTATTCTTATTCCTATTTGGCAGATGGGCTCATGAGGCCCAGAGAGGTTAAGGAACCTGCCCAAGTTCACAGAGCTAGTAGGTGGAAGGGCAGGATTTGTAGCAGGTAGTTAGGCTGTAGAGTCTTCCACACTCGTTTTCTGCCACGGTTGCTGGGCTGTAAGTCCAGAGTTGCTGGTGGCCACCTCACCACTCCTAAGAGCTTATCTGAGAATGAAGGGCATGAGGAATGCTGAGCCAAGAGGTAGAGAGAGGCAGACTGCTGACACTTTAATCACCTGGACCCAGCTGTGCCTAAAGATCACAC